GGCAGCGCCGTACAGCTTGTTGTACAGCGGGGCCACCCGCTTCAGCAGATCCACCACAGCCGCCTTGTCCTTGCCGCCCTGCACCAAACAAATGCACAGCGCAGCCGCATGTGACGCGGCAGCAGCAGCAGCAGCAGGCCACGGCAAGGGCTTGCCAGGGCGGCCCCGCCGGTGCATGCGTGAGGCGGCCAGCCGGCGGCGTGCCGCTCCCGAGCTGCCGCTGCTGCCGCGGCAGCAGCTCGGAAAGCCGGCCGGCCTGCACCGGTGCACGGCTGCCGGCAGCGTGGCGCCTGCCCCCCAGGCTGGGCATCCCTGCCAGCAGGCATGGGCTGGCACCCGCACCTCTGCCGCCACCTTGTCCACCTCATCCGTCAGCGTCGCCAGCTCAGCATCCACACCCGCCGCCGCCTGCCGGCAGGAGCACGCCAGCGGCGGCAGGCAGCAAAAGGCGCTTGTCGGCGCACGGCCCAGGCTGCCACCCGCCTGAGGGTTTGCAGGCATGCCCTCGCAAAGCACGCTTGCCAGACGCCTTGGCCCGTCGGACCCACCTCCTTGAGCGCCGCAACCTGCGCCAGCATGGCGCCACGCGTGCGCTCGGTGGCGGCCGCCCGCCGCTGCAGCTGCTCGTTCGTCACCGTCAGCTCGGCAATCTCCTGCGGGGCATCGACACGCAAAGCACGCGTGTGTTGTGCGCGCACGCACTGTGCTGTGCCTGCGCACACCAACCAGGCCAGGCGGGAACGGCAGGCCGGGGCGGCAGCCTTGCTGTAGGGGGCATGCGAGAGGGAGGCGGGCGCACCAGGTTCAGCGCCTCGCACTCCCCCTTCTCCCGGCTCTCCCACTCCGGGTCAAACTCCTCCAGCTGCGCCGCCATGGCCCTCAGCGACTCCAGCTTCTGCGCCAGGCCCGCCTTCTCCTCCTGCGCCTGCACCCCAGCGCCGGCGGGCGGCAAGGCCGCCTCGAGACCGGCTGGTGGCCTGGGCAGCTGCCGCACGCGGGCCACCCCTCCCCCAGCCTCCCTCCGTGCTCGCGGCACAGCCGGCGCGTCCCCAACCCCTCCAGGCCCCCCTGCCTTCATACCCCCAATCACCCACGCAACCACCACCACCACCGCCACCACCACCGCCGCCGCCGCCACCGCCACCACGGCCGCCACGCGCCTGCTTCAAC